TTCTAATTTTGAAAAATATGTAATAGTTCCCTTTAATAGTTTCCTTTAATATATCATCGATTTATTGAATAATATAAACAAAAATAAATAAAGGTCAATGAGAGTTTTTGCGCGGTTATTAGTGCGAAAATAAAAATCGTTTATTGTCGAAAAATTATAGTATTAATTATGCATAAACATTTCGGCTTACTTCCAAGCCATCATTAGTATGTCTGAGCATATGTTGTAAAATTCTCACTTCTTTCTTCATGGCGAGACGGTAGAGCGGCAATTCAATTTCCTTATTCTATTGGCAATGGTTGACAATTCCAACCGATTAATAGATAAAAATCTGTGCAAATATAAAAAACGTTACCAATTATTTTTTATAACGACAAATTAATCTCTCACTCATGTAGCCATGAAAGACGTGAATATAAAAAATCAATCACAAAGGATCCGCAAATTATTCATATTTAGCAATATAAATTCATTACAACTGTTCCGAATATTGTGACGGTTAATATTCAAATGAGTCAAAGATAATACACAGTGTACAAACTAATAAGTAAAATGGACGGTATTACCAACATATGTCAGACTGTTACTTAAAAATAATAAAAACAAAAACGGCGCGCAATTTAAATCAGTGTAAATTATTGAGAATTGAAATGTATAAGTGATATAAAAATTCAGTATCAGATTGCAAATTAAGGCTGTTTTTTTTCAACTGAATATTTCCGAGATACGTCGTTTGTACAAAAATCGTTCCTGATCAACAATTTCTGTGCCTTCCCAATCAAATCCAATCTGTGTTCGATAATAACAAAATGATTATTCGTGTTCCTTCGGATATCATTACAATGTTTCGAGATTCTCGTTTTTAAAGTCCTCCCTGTCTGCCCAACATAGAAGGTATCGCAATATATCTTGTAAATTACGTTCTTTTTTATTTTATTAAGTAAAAGATCTTTATGTGTTTTAATAAAAGAATTAAGCTTGTTCAGACTAAAAAATACAAGGTCATCAAGATCTTAAATTATGTCTTTAAATTTGTATGAGACCTCCAAAACAAATGGAATCGTTAAATTATGACTTCTTACCTATAGACAAAAATTTGGAATGGGCTCACCTCTATCACCAGTAATCGCAGATTTAGCATTACAAGATCTGAAGAAAAAAGCATTGAATATTTTAGCTTTCCATCTCCTTTTACATTCACTACGTAGATGACATTGCAATGAGAGCTACAGCAAAAAAAAAACAGAAATATTATAATAAATGAAATTAAAATGAAATTAAAATGTGAAATTAAAATAGAATTATTATCTAATGTTTTTTTACTCAAAATTTCAATCAAATGAAAACTATTTTTTATATAACTGATGAGTCAACATTAATTTTATAAAATATTTTATGTAGAAATATTGTTAAAGTGTATAATAGACTATCGATAGCAGAAATGATAATTTTTAGAAACGATCCCGGTTTATAGCTCTTTGGAAGCTCGTAAGCGTCAGATAATATCCCGTCACCGTTGTACAATTTATTGTAAATCTGTTGCGAAATGAACTCTTTTTTTCTTTTATCTGGTGAATAACTCTTTCAGTTTTCTAGAAAGAATGTTAGTAGGATCTTTTTTAACTATCTCATATGTATTTTCATCACTTAGTAATGTAAGCATTTTTTGTCTATAGTCTTCTTTTTTCATTATCACTGTCACACTACACATTATCCTTATTGGTTCTAGTAATCATAATATCATGGTTGTTCCTCAAAAAATGATTTTGTTACTTTCTACATATCTGCAAGCTTATCCTTCAAAGAATCAATCCGATTAAGATTCGATTAAAAAGATTATTAATAATTGGTATGATTCGGTTCCTAACATCTAATCGTTTGCTCATGTAATTTATTAAGACTATTTTCGATGTTTTTTATAAATTCTAAAATAAACTTTTTATAATTAGAAGGAGACATTGAAAAGTTTTCTCCTAATTGTAAGAGACTGTACGTTGTTCGGAATCAGAGTCGAAGTCAAGTGAATTGTCAACCATTGCCAATAAGGAGATTGAGTTTCTCGTCACGAAGAAGTAAGAATTTTACAACATACGTTCAGACATACTGAACGTGGCCCGGAAGGAGGCCGAAACGTTTATGCGTAACCAATTATACTATAGTTTTTTGATAATAAATGATTTTTTTTTTCGCACTAACATCCGCGCAAAAAACTTTCATCGACTCTTGTTTGTTTTTGTTTTTTGACATTCTCGAGAGTTTAGTTTATTTCTCAGCAAACGAAAATGAATTGAAATGGATTCAGATTTTCAGAAATATTGATTCACGAATGTTAAAATAAATGCTTTTCAATGCCTTTCAATCCTGAATGCATTTTTATTCATTTATAGGAATTGTATGGAGCATATCTCTATGTCTTTCAATCTAAAAATAATATTAATTTTTTCTGTGCATTGTGAATATTGTTCAATTCAAAATTTTGAATAGAAAATGCAGTTTTTCAATCCAATTGCATCCAGTTGAATCCAATTGAATCCAAAAAAAATATTCGCTATTTTTAAAATATGTATTCGGATAGAAAAAAATTTCAATCTATTTTAATCCATTCTCGTTTGTTGAGTTGAATAATATTGTAAAATTAAAATGTAAAAATTTACATAAATATATAAGTATAAAAGTATACTTGTATAAAACATAACATGCAAGATATAATTACTAAATGTAGGAATTATAATGTACAATATGTTTTATAATATTTATACAAAATGTGTACTATATATTGTACAATTCTACTGTGTATGATACTCTATTGCAGTGTAATAATATTATTTGAAAATATATTTTCAAATAATATTATTACACTGCAGTAGAGTATCATACACAGTAGAATTGTACAATATATAGTACACATTTTGTATAAATATTACAACATATTGCACATTATAATTCTTACATTTAGTAATTGTACTCAGTAGTATTATAAAGTTATAATATGTAACATATAATAAAGTATTTAAAAATATATAATAAACTACTTCATTTTAAAAATACATATGTTTTTATCTCTTGAATATTATCACATTTTTCAAATCAGTGAGCAATATTTCATTTTCGTATTTGTGTGTATGCTGTGTGGATGCATACGTGCATACGTGAGTGTGTGTAAATTAAACATATAATTTAAGCTAAAATATAATTCACTGTAATAATCTAGTTCAACAGATAATAATTGTTTGAAACAGTTTTTAAACTATCGCAACGAAAGTTTTTTCAATAACCATATTTTGTAACTGAATTATATAATTATATAATATACAGAAAAAATTTATACAACATTGATATAACAATATTACATTGCAGTAATATTTCATACTGTAAAAATTGTAATATTACAAAATTATATGCATGATATGTAACAGTTTTTTATACGAGGACAAATCAATAAGTTTTTAGAAAAACATAGTAAAACACATTTTTTTTATCGATTCATTTTTATTTCTCAATATAGTCTCCTTTCAGCTCGATACACTTGATTCAATGATTCTTCAACTTTTTCAAGCTGTTCGAATAATATGATTTGTCCAACCCTTTAAAATAAGCCTCTGTTTCGGCGATGAGCTCTCTGGGGATGAATCTCTTTTCATTTCTTTAAATTTGAAAACAGGAAATAGTTGCAGGGAGCTAAATCTGACGAATATGCTGGATGAGAAAGCAATTCGTAGCGGAATTCGTTGAATTTGGCCATCGGTGCCGGATACGTGTGAACCCGTGCATTGTTTGGATAGAAGAGCACTTTCTTCTTCGCCAAATGGGGATTTTTCTTTAAAACGTTGTTGAAACGGTCCAAGGCTGCGTAGTAATCGCCATTGATCGTTTGTTTCGACGGAAGGTAATCGATATGAATTATACCGTGTGCATCCCAAAAAACTGTGGCCATCACCTTTCCAGTCGACTTCATGGTTTTCACCTTTTTCGGAGCTGGTTCACTCGGTAAAGTCCATTGTTTTGATTGTTCCTTCGTCTCGGATATGAAGTAATGGATCCATGTTTCGTCCACAGTAAACGTCCATGAATCGACGCAGAAATTCATCTAGATTACGTTGAAATATCTCCAAATATTGTTTTGAAATCGTCACACGGTCGTGCTTATGATCCACAGTGAGCAAACGCGGCACCCATCTTGCCGATAGCTTTTTCATACCTAATTGTTCGTGCAAAATTGAAATCACTGTGTCATGTGATATGCCTGTGGCCTCAACAAGCTCGCGCACTTTCACTCATCGATCAGTCAAAACAATATCGTGGACTTTATCGATGATTTCTGGCGTAGCAGCCTCAATTAGACGTCACGAATGAGGTGCATCACATGTGGATATACGACTGGATACTTTTAAATTCATTCACCCAATTGTATATAGTCGCAAACGCTGGTGCAGATGTGAACATTATCCAACTCGGCTTTAATTTCTTTCGGCGTTAAACTTTTCATATGTAGATATTTGATCATTGCACGAAACTCGTTTTTTTCCATTTTGGAAAAAAATATAAAATTTTGTTCACTTTAATCATCTACAGAAATGAAACGCGATGAATTCCGCTCAAAATTTGAGTAATCGGCTGAAAGATGCTATTTATCAAAAAGTAATGACATGCCACTGAGAGTCTGACAAATTTTCTAAGAACTTATTGACTTGCCCTCGTACATTATTTATGATATTGCTGTTTATTATTTATGAAATTAATTAAATATTTCCTTTATAATATACTAATCCGATGGATTGTGGCAATTCGAAGATTATTAGAATTTACGTGATAAAAGTGTGTGGAAAATTGATATTAGAGTCGCAAATTAAATATAAGCATAACTAACCATATAAAACGGTAAATTGTCTTGCGACTGACAACTAGATACTTTGCTTCCCGCGTTCAAACTTCAAATATGAGCATTTTAAATTACAATAGAATTTGTAATAGATAAAATAAAATGAGAGATGGGATTTTAGTTCGATGCTCTTCAGGATCGTACAGACTTGCATGCGGGACTAGAACAAGATACTGCTGTGGAGCAGGCCAAGGAGGCCAATGAACTGCACGAATTGTTCAACCCGGTTGGTTTTTTAACGACTAATCACAGTAGTATTATTTATTATCTCTCTAAATGAATTGACATGATGTATGTTTTTTAAATTACATTCTGCTAACAAGCGAGCTACTAATATTCGTCGAAATGTTTAATATCTCGCATACTTACTTATTATTCTAAATGAATTGTGAAGTACGTTTTTTTAAATCACATTCTGCCAATAAACGAGCCACTAATAATTCATCGGAACATTTAATGATGTTCTGCGTACAAAAGTATCTCTTAGGGTTGGTGAAAGTTTGATAATCAGCAAAGAAAGCAGCTTTGCAACTGTTGTAAAATTTTTCAATATGATTGATTTATACGTTTAGATCTATAACCAAAAGCAAGAACCAATCGTATTGAAGAATTTTGCAACAGTTGCAAAACTGCTTTCTCTATTGAACGCAGCCAATATTTGAATAAAGTTTGAAAATACAGATATGCATGATTTATGTTTTACAAAAGCCTATTTTATGTGAATGTTACGTTTACAAATGCGAATTCCTTAAAAGCTTAAACTAATTTTGAAACTTACAAAATTTACTTTTTTTCTCAATAAATGTTAAATCTTTCTCTCTTTCTTTAAAATAAAATTATTTTACAATCGTACTTTTGCATGTAGCAACATTTATTAAACGCTTATCTTTTAAATTGAAGGAAAATTCACTTTGTTTCTTATCTTCGTATTTTTGTAAAGAAAAACTTATACATATATAGAGTATATATTATTAATAATATATACAATATATGTATATATTATTTTTATTTTATTTTATTTAGAACAATGAGTACATTCAATCAGTGGCACGATGTCTACAAATGATGCTTCGTATAGACGAATATCGCTTTGCATTCGTGTCTGTCGATGGAATTTCGACTCTTCTCAGCGTTCTGTCTGGCAGAGTAAATTTCCAAGTACAATATCAGCTTATTTTTTGTTTATGGGTACTTACTTTCAATCCTCTCTTGGCAGAAAAGATGAATAAGTGAGTAGCTATATCCTTTGTTTCCAGTTTTACTGAAGATACTCTAATAGATCATATTCAATTATTACAATGTTGTCTTACATGATATATTGCAGATTCAATGTCATACCCATTCTTGCTGATATACTCAGCGACTCAGTCAAAGAAAAAGTAACACGTATTATACTTGCAGTGTTTAGAGTAAGTTTGAAATAAAGTTGTGTTATAGAGTAAAAAATAGCTAATTTTAATTATCTCATAGTTGGTATTTTTTTTTTATATTAACAGAATTTGATTGAGAAAGTAGAAGATGGACAAGTAGCTAAGGAACATTGCATCGCTATGGTACAATGCAAGGTGTTAAAACAACTTTCGATATTATGTCAACGAAAGTTTGATGACGAGGACATCACTGATGATATCGAGTTCCTCAATGACAAACTGCAAGCATCTGTGCAGGATCTAAGTTCATTCGATGAATATTCGACGGAAGTGAAATCTGGTCGTCTAGAATGGTCTCCTGTTCACAAATCGGGCAAATTCTGGCGTGAGAACGCTAGTCGTCTTAACGAAAAGAATTACGAACTCTTGCGTATTCTGGTTCATCTATTAGAAACTAGTAAAGACCCACTTGTCCTCAGCGTGGCTAGTTTCGACATCGGCGAATATGTGCGCCATTATCCACGTGGCAAGCAGTATGTTAACTTATAGAAATATCGTATTAAATTCTATCTACAATTGTAATTTGTTAAAATATTGTTTCGTTTATTTTAGCATAATTGAACAACTTGGTGGAAAACAGCGCGTAATGCAACTTCTTGGACACGAAGATCCTAATGTTAGATACGAGGCTCTTCTTGCAGTACAAAAACTTATGGTACATAATTGGTAAGTTACAGAATTTAAAAAATTTTACTCATCTTTTATTATTTGATGTATATATCTAAAACAATTGTTTCAATATTGATAATATATCGGAACATGATCTAGATATTTTTTAATTTAATTTAATAATTTTGTAAATATTTCTCAAATTTGTGTTTATTATCTAGGGAGTATCTTGGAAAACAATTAGAGAAAGAACAGACAGGTGCATCTGGAGCATCTACTAATAAACCTGGAGTACAAGTGTCAGCGAAAGCTTGAATATTCGTGCAACTTGCACAAATTTTCTGATTTCGAGAAAGTTTCGAGAGTATTATATAGTTCGCATGATATAATTATCATCCGCTTATTGTAAATTACATAAAATTCAAAATACATATATTCTCTTCCATTCTATATTATTGTAAAAAAAAAAGAGAAGATATATAGCTAAGTCCATCTCTCCTTTGTGCAAGTTAAGGCTCCTGAATAGTCATCAGAACATATTGAATCATGACGTCAGAAGCGAGAAATGACAGATTAATTTTTATTACGTGCCATTTATAAATAAAGACAATTTAGATAATACAAAATGAGATTGCTTTAAAACATTTGTAAAAATAGACGAAAACTATGCTTATCTCTCCCTGACAGTCAATAAATAATCGTAAAAAAATGATAAAAGGCACATTACTTTTATTCAATGCGCATGCGTAGTTTATTTTTACTTACACGTGCCTTTTATCACTTTTTACTGTCAAGAGGGATAGTTTTCGTTCATGTTTACAAATTTAAAGCAATCTCATCATTTTTATCCAAATTGTCTTTATTTATAAATGGCATGTAATAAAAATTAACGTGTCATTTCTCGCTTCTGACGTTATGATTCAATATGTGGTGATTACTCAGGAGTCTTAATTTTTGTAAGAAACTATTGATCAAATATGAAATAAATATAAAACGTTGGTGTAATAAACTTCATCGTGTAATATCTTAGTCTTATGAATAGAATTTGTTCTCTGGAATTTTAGAAAAAGAAAAAAATAAAATTTTATTCTGTTGAGAAAAACTGTATACGCGATATACATTTCATACAGGCATGTTCTCATGGTACATTACACCCGCCTAAATTTCAATTTAATGTTTATATTGCAGGACGCTAGTTGTATTAAAAGAAATTTAAAGATATATGGTATCTCGATTTCGTCTACGGTATCTTCTTCACCACATAAACGACATCTTTTATCATCATCATCATTTCTATTTATCACTGTTAATTCTGGTCCAAGTAAAGAGCCGCACTTATGACATGCTAAAGTCTGCAAATAAATAATATTTATCAAAATATTGAAATAATATTGTATTAATCAAAATGTAAAATAAATATTTTAATCAGATATTTGTGATTAAATAATCAGATCTGATATATGATTAAATCATGTATACATAAAACTTAATGAGTATATAATAGCATATTTAAAAAAAAGAATATAAAAAATTATATCTTGTTACTTACTGTTATTTTATCAGAGCAATGAAAGAGACGATCTTGAAGAAGATATGAGCAACCATGAGAAATCAGAGCGTCTCGTTCCATCTCTCCAAATCGAATACCGCCACCGCGCCGACGACCTTTAATAGGTTGCCTCGTTAGCATATCAATCGGTCCGGTACTTCTGACCTAAAAATGAGATGTGTTTAGCCCATTTGTTATAACTTAAAAAAGTCTTAAACTGTTATAATTTAAAAAAACAAAGTTGCCCACTATCGAAATATGTATATTAAAAATAGATATAAAAACCGAATAAAACAAAAAATAAATGGGAATTGCAATCAAAGTGTAAATACACAAAAAGAAATATATTGGGTCATCTAAAAAGTATCCGCGGTTTTTTGTCACTAGATGTGTGTTGATGGTCATATATCTAGTGACAAAAAACCGCGAATACTTTTTAGATGACCCAATAAATATAAAATAAAAAAAGAATGTAAAAAATCCTTTAAATAAGAAGTACAAACTACGATCAAAATTGAATATTGAAATATTAATTCTATATGTAATTTATATTAAATATATTTACTTCAGATATATATAACTGCACGCAGATTATACTTTCGAAAATAATAATTATGTCCAATATCTAAGTTTAAGCGTTTCTTAATTAATTTATTCATATGTCAGTCTTGTTTCCAATGTATTACGAAAAATTCTGTTCTCATTAAATGTCAATATAAATTAACTACCTGCCACTTGTCAGAGACCATGTGTCGCAATCTTTGGTAATGCACAATGCCAAAGAAGATACTGGCATTCATCTCACATCCATAAATGCCCGAATACATTCTTTCAGTTCCATAATAATTATAACCACCAAGTTCTAATAATTTCCCAAAGTAGTCCACAGCTGTACTCTCTTCATCAAACCTAAAAGGCGTGGCATCGTGTACCAATCCATGTACAGCCGCCGATTTTCCAGCCATCACTTCGATCATCATAGCTATGAAAAACAATTATCGCTTTATTGCAAAGCCGTTAACATCTAAATTACATTTTCTTAGTAATTTCTTATTAAAAAATTAATATTTAATATTGCCTATCCAAATACTTACATTAAAGACAGATCTAATTGAAAACCATCAATTCGTTATTGTCATATGTTATATTATATTATTCTATTAGAAGTGTAATTTAGTTTTAAGAGTTTTGCAAGAAATGGCACTAATGTTAGTGTTGTTGAAAATATCCCAACCCCAGCTATTGTTTCTTAAAACTTTAGGGCCATGGCATACAAAAAAAATTTAATCAGTAAAACATATGGCGAGGTTGAACACGGACTTAATGGAATCGGAGGCTAGTATCAAGGCATAGGTCTCTTTTCTTGGAGATGTGTCGATGGATGACGGCGTGAGGAGGATAGATATCACCTTGAAAAAGGTCTCGGACTTTTCCATGCCGCGTCGAACTTCTACCAGTAGACCACCAGTCTACGGTGGAATGAAGAGATAGTCGAACTGCGGGCTAAATGTGTCGCCTGTCGTAGGCGACTTACACAGGCGTGAAGGCGGGAGGGGTTCGGGACCTCTGAAATGAGTTAAGGAAGGCGAGGAAGAAGATGATAGGCGCGATTCGTAGATCGAAGATCGACCTATGGAGGGGATCGACACACTGGATGGAGACCCTTGGGATATACAGAGTGGTCATGGGAAAACTACGCGCCGGCTCTACAGGAGGCGCTCCCCCCTGAAATAGTACAGGAAATTGTGGGCATGCTGTTCCCGCGAGGGAACACGGTGATTGTACAATGGAACCCTCGTCTTGAATGAGACGAATCGTGGACAATGACGGAGAATGAGGACACAGCGACATATAAAAGGATTATGATTAGTAAGGCGCCTAACCCAGGCAGTATCGCGGGCCGCGTAGTGGGTAAAGTGTCACGGCCAAGTGTCTGTCCTCATGGTGAGCACACTGCTTCATGGCGTGTATCAAGGAGGAATGCTTTCCAAGAAGCTGGAAAACAGCAGAACTGGACCTGCTTTAAAAACCTGGAAAATCTGATTTGCTCCTCTGTTTCTGCAGGCCCATCTGTTTACTTAAGGGGAGAAACTCTATGAAAGAATTTTATAAACGATAAACTACACAAATGCCTGGACGCTATCGGAGGTATTTCCGATCTACAATATGAATTTAGACCTCATCGATCGATAGTGGATGCTATACGGAAATTGCGAGAATTGGTGGACGTCATGCGGGACAAGGGCATCCTTGGACATAGCCAATACCTTCAATTCGTTCCCGTGAGCAGTAATCCGCGAAGCCTTGGCGGCTAAAGGTGTACCTCCGATGCGTCCTGGAAAACTACTTGTTGGAAAGAGATTTAGTGTACATAGATAGGTATTGTTACGTTCGGCAAGACTCCAGGATTTCCTCGTTTCGCGAACGTTCGACAAGGTGATCGTTGGGACAAGGCGCGAACAAAAAACGTGAACGTTAATGGTCACCAATCGGCGTGCGTGGCAATATTTAAAAAATGTGTCGTTGAAAATTTTCCCAACGATTTTGGAAAGATGGGCAAAAACATAGATACCCAGTATCGCCTGATCCACGATAATAGATACGATGATTTATGACAACAAACCATGTTGAGAGTGTTCGATTTAAAAACGTTCAATTTCAATAAATAATATCTAAATACGGATCAGCGATTCTGAATAAATAAAAAATCACATTTCCAAACGCATAACAACATGTTGAAGAGTGTTTTCTCGTCAACAACAGGAAGCGATAAAATAAATATTATATATTAGGTGTACAACTTTGCTTCCGCCGTTTTTTTTTCCTAAATTCAAGACTTTATTATAAAAAACTAGTTATACATTTATGATTCAAAGTCCATCGCTGGCCACTACTTTCTCCCATCTTTCGGGCAGCATACGAATCCCGCGTCAAAAAAACTGGTCATCTTTTGATGCGATCCACGATTCAATTTTTTACTTCTTCATAAGACCGGAAGTGCTGATCAGCCAGGCCGTGTGCCATTGATCGAAATAAGTGATAGAAGGAGCAACGTCTCGAGAATACGGCGGGTGGAGTAGGACCCATTTCAACGTTTCCAAGTATGTCTTGATCACTTTCGCAACATGGAGTCGAACATTGTCATGCTGCAAAATCACTTTATCGTGTCTCTCGTTATATTGCGGCCGTTTGTCTTTTCGCTCGGCTCAAATGCATCAATTGCATTCGATCGCCTGTGATTGTTTCAGTCAGTTTTAATAACTCATAATACACTACGCCGAGCTGGTCCCACCAAATACAGAGCATGACCTTGGAGCCGTGAATATTCGGTTTGGCCATCGACATGGAAGCATGGCTGGGAACTCCCCATGTTTTTCTGTGCTTGGGGTTATCGTAATGAATCCATTTTTCATCCCCAGTCAATGCGATGCAGAAATCCCTTCCGTCTTTGCCTTTCAAGCAGCTGTTCACAAGCAAACAAACGCCGTTCAACATCTCTCGGCTTCAATTCATACGGCACCCAATTTCCTTGCTTCTGAATCATTCCCATGACTTTGAGGCGTTTTGAAATGGCTTGTTGAATCACTCCCAATGATCGTGCCAATTCTTCTTGATTTTGACACTTGAGTTTTGATCAAGTAATGCCTCCAATTCATCTTCGAAAACCTTCTCTCTTCCACCGCTATGCCGGTCTTCGACGTCAAAATCATTGTTCTTGAAGCGTTGAAACCACTCACGACACGTTCTTTCACTAATAGCGCCTCATCATAAGTATATTTGATGAGCATTCGATGAGTCTCAGCCGCAGATTTCTTCATATTGAAATAGAAAATTAAAACCTCCAGCAAATGGCGAGAATTTGACTCGTAAACTGACATTTTCAATCGAGAATAACT